GGGGTCGGGGTCCGTCTCTCGGCGGCGGCTCCGGGCCGGGAGAGGCTTGGGGGAGCGGCCGGTTGCCTGCCCTTTGTTCCCCGGCACAGCAGAGCAGTGTCCGAGCGGAGGGCACGGGCCGAGGGAGAAGTGTCCTCAGTTTACCGCTGCCGTAACCGGGTACCTGCTCCCCAGCCCACGTTATCATTGCTCCCAGTGGTGCTGGGCTGCACGTCTCGGTTTAGTGTCCGTGGTGAAGTGGCTCCAGGCATCCCTGGAGGTTCTCAAGGCCAGGCTGGATGGGGGCTTTGGACACTTAGTTCTGGTGGAAGGTGTCCCTGCCCGTGGCAGGGCGTTGGAACGAGATCATCTTTAGGGTCCCTTCCAACTCAAACCGTTCTTTGATATCTGGTTTTTAGAATGTGAAGTATTGATGCTTTTGCTATAGGGAGGCTTTAGAATGAGAACTATATGAAGGGAAAAGCTTTGTGGATGGGAAATCCGCAGTACTGTTCTTGCTCTGTTTACAGTATTGCTGGGTAACTAATCAGGTCACATCACCTGTGGGTCCGTGTTTTTCCAGCTGTAATGTGGAAATAAGTGGCTTCTAGCTAAAGAACTCTGAGAGAAAAGGTGCTATTTATTTGTAACTGAAACACTGCTTTGAGATTTGAGTGTAACTATAACATGATGTCACATGCTGGGAGTGAAATCACTTGCTTATAAACCACTATAAGAGAATAGCATGGAACTTATTAAATAACATTTTTTTTCATAGGTTGGAGCAGCTTTGCCTGTTGATGTCTTAACATATGAGGAAAAAACTCTGTCTGCCATATTAAGAGTTATTAGCAGGTAAGGTGCAGTTGGTACAGGCTTCTGATACTGCCATGAAAGTATTGTTTGTAAGAAAACCAGAACTTCTAAGCTAAGAATAGTCTTTGAAGAACTAAGCCTAACTTGCAGATATTTACCATCAGCATGCAGAAAGTAATTACTAAGGCTTGGTAACTTTGTGCATCGATGTTATTCCTGCTTTAAACCTGAATGGTTTAAATGGTTTAAGACAGGAACTAAGCACCGTTCAAATGTGTTGTTTTAGATCTCTTTCTACAGTAAAAGATCAGAATGGTTACTGTAAATAGTGAAGATGACTGCAGGTGATTTAGGGGAAGAAGGAGCTTAAATGCACAGAGAGAACAAGAACTGGTAAAGTGAGCTTGAAGAGGTTACATTACATATCTGTGTGTGAAAGACAAGAGACTGCAGCCACTGCAATACCCCTTCAGGACATAGTGTTGCTACTGGAACTTACTGGTGAATTTACCTGCTGTTAAACTCAGTTTAAATGTCATTACTCTTAGTGTAACAGTATTTTTATTTAAGATGTTTATGTTGCAGGAAAACTGATAAAACAAAATTTTATTAGTATATTTTATTTTCTTTTTACTAAGTGGCCTTGTCAAGCTGTGGAGTGCTCTAACCTTGCTGGGCTTCTACCAGAACAGGAGGTGTGCCTTCCGGGTGCTGCAGGTAAAGCCTTGCAGGGCTTGTTGCTTCCCCCAGCTGTCAGTTCTGGCTCTAAACTTGGCTGTCTCTCTGAGCATGCTGTATCTTCACAGAGAGGTGGCCTAGATGCAAAAATGCTTTGGTTTGGGAGTGAAATGCCTTTAAGTGCAGGTGTGTGGGCCTGTGTTTGAGCAGTTCTCACCTTATGATGAATCTTGTAAAATGTGATGGTAGAGGCTGTCTCATTACTTTATGGTTTCAGTCCAGTGACAAGTCCTGATGTCATTAATGCACCTGTGAGAAAATAATTTCTGGCAGGTTTTGTTTATGGTTCACATCTTGGTCCTGTCTTTTATTTCCTCTGCCCCATTTCTTCCCTTTCTAATAATCACTGTTGACAGACCTTACAAACGTGCACTTCCAGAGCTTATTTTTTTCTAGAGGGTGCTGCTTAATAAAAGGAATTCTGAGAATTCTTTGTCTCTGAAGCCATAGCTGGACAAAAATCTGCTAGGGCATAGCTCTAAGTTTCTAATCTTTCATGTAAAAGGAAAATTTAGGTATTTTCACATTTGAGTGCATTTGTTGGTGATTTTTTTTCAAGGCTTTAGTTTGTTCTTGTTTGTTTTTTTCTTTCCCCAAAACAGACATCTCCATTTCTTCTGGCATTATCTGGGAACAGTAGAGAACTAGTCCTAGACTGAATGTGCTTGTTGGTTTGGTTGTACAAAGCAGAAGTTTCTGGAGATGTTGCAGCCCTTCAGGCGAGGAATTTCTGGAGGAATGTTCCGACGAAGAGCCTTGACAAAGCTGACGTTTATCAACTCACTGCTTGGACATCCAGTACTTCAAAGTTTACACATAAAAGTTGGAGACAAAGCTGAACTTACCAAAGCTTTTACTCAGAATGATGTTGTTACTTTTTCCTACTTAACAGGTGACACAAATCCTTTGCATTTAAATGAAGAGTTTGCAAAGAAGTCTAGGTTTGGGAGAACTGTCGTACATGGAGTTCTGATCAATGGACTTATTTCTGCAGTTCTAGGTACTAAAATGCCTGGTCAAGGGTGTATATTTCTCTCCCAGGAGATCCGGTTTCCAGCTCCTTTGTATATTGGTGAAGAAGTCACAGCTGCAGCAGAAGTGAAACGGCTGAAGGGTTCTATTGCACACATTTCAGTATCATGTCAGGTCAAAGAAAGTGGGAAGACTGTTATGGAAGGGATGGTGAAAGTCATGGTGCCGGACAGTTAGAGCTGTTCAGCCTGTGCTACTTTACTGTAAAGGCCAGAAATGCTTGGTTTTGATTTTGTCTTTTTATGTGACATCACTCAATCCAGTAAATTTGCAACAAAAAATGCTTGAAAGACAGTGTACAAACTTAATCCTGATAGAGCTGCATTAAGCTTAAAACTTTTCATTTTCCTCTATGTATCGTCAAGGTGAAACCAGCAGAACTACGTACTTACTGTGACAAAGAGGGAAAGTGGCTTAGGCAAGCCATTGCTCTGCCACAGTGGGAATTCTGGAGTGGCTGAGGCTGTTCTTTCTGGCAAAATCGCAGTCCACACCAGCAAAGTTCAGTTAAAACTTGTTCCTTTTGTACAAAGCAGCTGTATTGCCAACAAGCTCCAGGGGAGGGGACAATGCTGCATTTAACAAGTGGGACAGAAGTGGAGGTACTGACACACGTGTACTGCGGGATGTGTTGTAATCTGCATGGCTCCTGTGGGTGTTTCCTCTGAAACTTGCCTCCCAGAAACAGAGTGAAGGAGCCTTTAAAAAAAAATATTGTCACAACTTAGTGTACTTGTGCTCCTGAGGGCAAGACAAGCAGGGGCATATGAGTACTAACTGTATGGCTTCTCTCTGCTTGTCTGTGTGAACACGTATTCCTCCTTGCCCACTGAAAGCACCTTGTTAAAATAGGCTTTTGGTAAATTCATTACCAGTGTAAGGTCATTATACACTAAGAGACTTCTTTCAGGAATGATCAATGCCATCAGGAAGAAGGCCTTCAATTGGTGGCTTATAATTTTCTGGCAAAGCATCTGTTATCCCTTCTATCTTCTGTGCAGCAGAAATGCATTTGAAACTTTCCTTGACTGCAAATAACCTCAGAATTGTTTGCTGTGAAAAGAGAGTTTGTCCTCAACCTGTAATGAAGATTACTGGTAAAACAGGTGCGCAGCCTGAGTGTGCTGCACTGTAACCCCAGGGGTTAGTCACATTGGAGCAGAGGGAGGGGTAATGTTTAAGGTGTTTGACTCCATGCCCTCTGTTTCCAAAGCCTGGTGTTTGGCCTGTTCACAACCTGGAAGCAGTAGTTAGGGAGGGCTTTCCTTATCTCTTGTTTGTAGGAGCTGCTTCACTTCCCGTTTCCTTTCCTTCTGCCTCGGGTCACTGTCTGTCACTGGCTTGTGCTGTGTGAAACACTTTCCCAAAGCAGGCACACTCATTTCTCTGTTTCTTGTTCACCTTCCTCTCCAGGTGGGAAGTTGACTTGTTAATATCTGTTAAAAAAATGAATCAAATCTGTGCCTGACCTCCTGGATCACAACACAAGGACTAGTTTGGGGAGTCAGGATTGCTGTTTCAGCCTGAGATTCAGCTAATGAACCACACCATTCAACCCATTTTCCTCTCAGCGGGGAGCTGCAAGATGGGTGTAAAAAAACTCCATCTCTGTGGTCTTACAACATCTTAAGTGAAAGTAATTCCTATGTATGGTGTAAAAAGACAAAAGGAAATGCAGACAAGTGTCCAACTTGTAGGTTCCCAGATGCTATGTAGTACTGAAATAGAAAGTTTTTTATGCTTCTGCAATGAAAGCCAGGTTGTGGAACTCAGTTGAACAACTTTAAATGTCTTCTGAAAAAAAACCAAACCCAAACACTAAAATCTAGAAATTGAGTAGGAGTTACTGGATGCTATTTGATTATTTTATGATCTTTTAACCACAAAAAACCACCCCAAAAGGTAAAGAGCAGCAAGCACACCAGCCCTTTTCTGTTGTCCTCTCTGGGAGAACCAGCAGTGTCTCGGAGTTGATGTCTTACACGCTGCTACTACTGCCGTCGGTGCCACCGGAGCACCGGGCGTGGAAGGCTTGGGCGGCGGGGCGGGCACCTGCGCTCTGGCCCCCGCTCCTTCCCCGTTATTGCTCCCGGGGACGAACCTCCCCGTGTCCCCCCATCCCGCCGCCTCCCGGTGCGGGACCGGGATTCGAACCCGCGGCGCCCCGGAGGGGGCGCGGCGCCCCCTGGCGGCGTGCGGCGGCAGCGGCGTGCGGCGGCGCTAAGGCCCCGCGGCGGCGGCGGCGCTGCCGTGTTGACAGCGGCGGCCGCGCCGGGAGCTGCCCCGGGAAGCGGGTTGGCGGCGCCGGTTCTCCCGCTCCCCACTCCGCTATGGCCTTCATGGAGAAGCCGCCGGCCGGCAAGGTGCTGCTGGACGACACGGTGCCGCTGACAGCGCAGATCGAGGCGAGCCAGAGCCTGCACTCGCACACGGTGAGCGGGGCAGGCCGGGCCGCGGGGGGCGGCGGGAGCGGCGGGCGCGGGGGGAGGGAGCGGGGGCAGCCGGTAACGGGGGGCGCTGGGGGGTGCCCGGGGTGTGCGGGGCCGGGGGCAGCGGGGCCGGGAGGGGGCCTGCGCTGAGCCCGCAGCAGCGGGGCCGGGGGTGGCGGAGGCGGGGGGGGGCACCGAGGCAGTGCGGGTCGGGCTGCGGGCGGGGGGAGCGGTGCGGGAGGCGGCGGCGGGGCCGCTACCCCCGGGAGCGGGTTGGAGCGCCCGGGAACCCCTCGGTGGGATGCGGCGGTGCCGCCGCCGCCGCCTGGAGACGGGGATCGTTGGGCTCGTTCGCCCCCGCCGTGTGCGCGGGGTTCCCGTGGGCAGCCGGGCACAGCCCCGGGAGGCACCGCTGGGGCTCTGCGGGCGCGGCCGGTGCGGGGCTGGGGCTGTCTGGTGTCCCCCCCGAGCGAGGCCGTGTGAGTGGCTGTAATTCCTGCTTTTCTCAGGGTGTTGCAGCCCTTGGAGCGGAGATGGGCTCTCGTTGCCTCATTTCGGTAGCTGCGATGAAGTTACACATGAACGGGCTGCATTTGCCTGCGGGTCCTGCCGTGTCACTGAGGCTGTGAAGCTGCAGAGACCCCGCAGCCCCAGCCCCGCTTCTTTGTTGTGGGGAGCGGAGACACTTAGCAGAACAAGCCCTGCTGTCACTTGGGTGTCACAGGTTAATTATGGGATGCCAGGGACATATGCACGCTGTCTCCCTAAGAACTGCACTGTCTTTGAGTGTGCTGTAATAGTCCAAATTTCATAATGTCCTGTTTGCAGTTATTTTCCACTTTAAAAACCAGGTTTCCTTGTGGTATGACCAAGCAGTACTGTGAATCAGAGAGACGGAGCTGGCTGTCATTTGTGGTTCCTGCTTTGGCTGAGAGCAGGGATGCTGGGCTGGAAAGGAGGCCAGAGATACCTCAGAGCGGGTATACTAGTGGGAAGCGTGCTTTAAATGGCCAGAGGGTATTTCTTCTGCCCCTTACACAGCTCAGATCCCTGCATTGTGGATCTCTTCCTGGTTCCTTGCATCTGGTGCATATCCTTAACCTGAATGACAATAATTGTAGGTTCACCACAGGATATACAACTATCTGTAGACTGCCTTATTAAATACTCTTCCTATAAATAACCTGCACTTAAGAAGTGGGATTTTTTTTGTGTGAGGAACTCTCATTTGCTAATGTTCCAGTCTTCTCTGAACAGAAGTTACCTATGAGAAGTGGTCTAGAAGGTCTTGTGAATCTAGCAGGCTATGGCTCTCAGTTGTTGCAATTTCTCTTCTTAAATTTCCTGGCAAGCGTGATACTTTTTACCTGTTTCAATAGCTGAGGGGTGCATGTGCCAAGTCCTATGAGAAGTTGTGTAACTCCTAATACCCCCCAGTTGGCAGAGCAGATTAAGTTTCATTGGTAACTTGTTTCCAACATGCCTTATTATACTTTTTTGCTGCTGCAAATGACAATAGCTTTTTGTGTTCTTTCCTTTGGCTTGCATGATTTTGGTTCAAAAAGAAAAAGTCACAAAATTCTTTCAGAATGAGTACTTTTTCAATCCAGACTCCGCCTGTGTTGTCTTGTCTGAGGGAGTGTGATAGCAAATGTTGCTCCCCCCGTCTTTCATCTCTGTATTCTGTTACTAACGGATGTTCAGGGAAAATTCTCTATTGATTTGTTCTGTTCTTTCATTAATACCAGAGTGCTGGAGCACTGTTCTTTTTGATTTAAAATCTGTCTCTAAGATACATCTATTAGTAATTGTTTGTTTTACTGCAGAAGCCCTGTTGATAGTTGAAAGACGGCTTGAAGTGTGTGTAGCACAGATGGTTTATATAGAGCCAGTGTGGGATAACAAAATACAGGAAGCCATTAACAGAGGCTTGGTTTCTTATTTGATGTAAATCCACTATTTTGTCATTTTGGATGCTACATCTTATGTCCCTAGTGTCTGAATAGTTTGTTTATTGGTGGGTGATGCTGTCCCTGATTTGAACTTTCCTGGTTTATAATAAGCCACACAAATAAACCCTTGTATCTTAAGAGGTGTGTAAATGAAGCCCCTCTAAGAAATAAGGGCTGAAGTGCTTTTGTGGGGTGTTAAAGACTGCATTTTACTTTGTTAAATTATAGTTAGAAGAAAGTAGGTTGTCATTAACTGAATGCTTTTTAGGTTTGTTTCTCATCCCACCTCAATGCAGTATCTTCAAAAGATGTACATCTGTACAATCCTTAATTCCAAACTACTGTTTGGAGAACTAGCTTTGCACATGGTAGACTTGTTCTAAAGCTGAAATACAAAGGCAGCCATAAATAAATTTTCTGTCCTTTTGTCAGCAGTTTGTATTAAGATTTTATAATGCTGTTTATATAATGCGAGAGTTGTTTTAAACTTGCATTTGTATTTTTTTCCTGTAGGTCATACCTTATAAAAGCACTCATATGAAGACAGCTTAGGCCGAGGTTAGGTGTAACTTTAACACGGCAACTGAACTAATAATTATGTAAACCTTCTGTGGATGCTGAAAATAGACAGTCTTCTGAAAAACCAAATAAGGAAGAGGTAAAGAATTTCAGGAAAAGCTCTGTAGACATGGTGAAATATCACACAGAAGACCAAAGCTTGTGTCAAATGAATAGTTTACTTGCCTATTGTTCTAAGCAGTTTTTGTTAATTTAAATTTAATACAACAGACTGGGTGAGTAGCATTCATAGCATTGAATCAGGGGCTGTAATTGGCAGAGGCTCAGTTTCTGTTTCCTGGGGCTGAAGGTGAAACTGAAAAAAACAAAACTGAAAACACAACCTGAAACTACTACGTGCTTTCCTGAATTCTCCAGAAACCTAAGAAGGGACAAAACTAGTATTGAAAATGTACTTTTGAGGGTTTGCAATTTTTGCTTAGTAAGAGTAGGTCAACCCCTGGTAAATGGGGCTTTTAGATTGTTAGGGAATCAGCTGCAAAATTCTCTGATATGCTCACAAGCTTGACATGTTTTGTTCAATTAAGAAGAGCTCAGAAGTTCTTACTGGAGTCAGTACATCTGAGCTGGGACATAATCTCCATGTTTTTGTGTTGCAATAAAGAAATTGTCCACTGAGGTTTTCTTTCTGCATATTTATTTCCAATGATAATTGAAGACGAAAATTATGCTTTTTCATGTTTGCAAAAGTTGTTTCCCCAGTTAAGTGTGTTACAAGCAGTCTGAGTTTTGTTGGAATGTGAACTTAAATACAATTAATTCTATAGTGCGGTGTTTATGGAGTCCTTTTTATTTCAAAAGCAAAAAACCCCCCATATTACAGGTGCATTCTAGT